CCCAAAACGTCATAATCTAATATATATATATATACAGTAGTCAACATTTGAAGTGGATCAAAAAAGTTAATCAAAGTTGTCCTAAAACAAGAACACATTTTGGTTTTAGGATTTAGGACAACTTTGATGAAAGGTTTTGATCTACTTCAAATGTTGACTAGTATAGTTAGTAGCAACAACTGGTATACACACTAATAATTCTACTATTTGCCACTTACATTTTTTTTACACTTAAAAATACTGAGTAATTTTTAAAACAGTGAAATCAATTGTAATATACCGTAGGAACTGAGTAAATTTAAGTAAAAAAATAAGTAGATCTAAGTAACTACATTTGGTATCATGACAAATAAAACTGAGTAGACCCATAAGTTAAAGGGGTCATATGATGCGATTTCAAGTTTTCCTTTATCAGAGCAGACTGCGCTTGTCGGAAGGAGGGACTTTGTATAAACCGAAGCGTTTGAGAGAGGCGGGGCATAGAGGACCTACAATAATGTACAGTATTTGAAAAATAATGTGTTTTTTGAACATTAAAGCATGTCAACATATTCTGTTACACCAAATACACAAAATAATTATCTTTTAAAAAGCATCATATGACCCCTTTAAGGTAAAGTAAATTTTCTTTGGGAAAAAAAAAGATAAATAAAAACATTTCTTTTAAGCTCAACATCAGACGTTTCCTCCATGCGAAAAGACTGATGCGAGACTAGTTTAGATGACTGACATTGTGTGCCTGTATTTAGCTTTGCATAAAATTATTTATATCACAATAACGATTTAATAGATTAAATAAAACATACACAAACATGTATTTCACCAAAGAAATGCACCAAATCATCAAAACTAAGAGCTGCTCTCTGAAGAGAATTAAAAAAGCAATTAAAGTTTTAATTGCATCCAACTTACTCAATTTTTTAAGTTTTTGGTAAAGATGAATAATATCAATTTGAAATAAGTAATGATTGTGATTCCTGATATGGATCAGTATAATAAAACGACTTAGCCTACATTAGATATTATTTTAACTTGCAATCAAAAATAAGTAGAATAGATACTAGTTTGTTTTAAAGAAAGAATGTTAAAATGCAGGGCCGTCGCTGGTGGGGTGAAAGGTGGTGACGATTATAGGGGCCCATGGCTGAGGGGGGCCCCGCCCCGGCGATTTTAACCGACTGCCGGAGGCCAGCATAAAAAGACGGCCTGCGCGTCGTCACTAAAGCTTATCAATTGCACATGTTTTAAGCCTTGCCAATTTAAACATTCAAAACAGTTTAAAGCATTCAAACACAAGACGTGGAAAAATTCAACTGAGTGTTCGCGCGCCGAGTTCGGTGCACACACAGAGTCTCACAGTCTCATGGACAGCAACACCGAACCAAGCTCTTTTTCGCTTCCTCCCGTGCCTGAACAAACAAATACACCTTGCCAGTTTAATTATGGTAAGGGGCGTTACATTTCCGAGTGCTTGTGGTGTTTGGCCAATCACAATGCACTGGGTCAGCTGGCCAATCAGAGCAGACTGCGCTTGTCGGAAGGAGGGACTTTGTATAAACCGAAGCGTTTGAGAGAGGCGGGGCATAGAGGACCTACAATAATGTACAGTATTTGAAAAATAATGTGTTTTTTGAACATTAAAGCATGTCAACATATTCTGTTACACCAAATACACAAAATAATTATCTTTTAAAAAGCATCATATGACCCCTTTAAGGTAAAGTAAATTTTCTTTGGGAAAAAAAAAGATAAATAAAAACATTTCTTTTAAGCTCAACATCAGACGTTTCCTCCATGCGAAAAGACTGATGCGAGACTAGTTTAGATGACTGACATTGTGTGCCTGTATTTAGCTTTGCATAAAATTATTTATATCACAATAACGATTTAATAGATTAAATAAAACATACACAAACATGTATTTCACCAAAGAAATGCACCAAATCATCAAAACTAAGAGCTGCTCTCTGAAGAGAATTAAAAAAGCAATTAAAGTTTTAATTGCATCCAACTTACTCAATTTTTTAAGTTTTTGGTAAAGATGAATAATATCAATTTGAAATAAGTAATGATTGTGATTCCTGATATGGATCAGTATAATAAAACGACTTAGCCTACATTAGATATTATTTTAACTTGCAATCAAAAATAAGTAGAATAGATACTAGTTTGTTTTAAAGAAAGAATGTTAAAATGCAGGGCCGTCGCTGGTGGGGTGAAAGGTGGTGACGATTATAGGGGCCCATGGCTGAGGGGGGCCCCGCCCCGGCGATTTTAACCGACTGCCGGAGGCCAGCATAAAAAGACGGCCTGCGCGTCGTCACTAAAGCTTATCAATTGCACATGTTTTAAGCCTTGCCAATTTAAACATTCAAAACAGTTTAAAGCATTCAAACACAAGACGTGGAAAAACTCAACTGAGAGTTCGGAGCACACGGAGAGCCGCGCAAACACCGAACTGAGCTCTTCTTCGCTTCCTCCCGTGCCTGAACGAACAAATACACCTCGCCAGTTTAAACATACAAACACAAAAAGACATGAAAAGCTTAATTCAGCACCCGCACGCTGTTCTGTGCTCACGCAGAGAGCCGCGTCTCACAGTCCTTGAACACTGAATTGAGTTTTGTCTACTCTTGCTCTTGAAACGACACATACATACAAAATTGTCACAATACCTGTCTTTGCGAGTATCCTCGAAAAAATTGTCGGTTATGTCTTAAGTGAAAGTAAACAGTTGAGAACGAAATCGAATGTGTATCATTATATTGGATGTATTGTCTCTTAAGTGACGAAATCGAATGTGTATCATTATATTGGATGTATTGTCTCTTAAAGTGACCGCGCCTAATTTACTAGCTGCTTTCAGTGTCCTTAATGTTAATCCAAGAAATTAAATGGGAGAAAATCACTCATTGCTCTTTACTGAATTACTTTGTAGTTTTAACAAGAATTAATTTATATTTAATTTATACAGTGAAGACTACGCAATGCTATTTACATTTGATTATTCAGTTTCTGTACCTGGAAACTCTACTTTCTGTACCTTAATTTGTATATTTGTTCCATTTACACAATATCAAACAGGGCCCACTGGTACAACCTGCACCGGGGCCCTCAAACCCCAGCTAGGGCACTTGTTAAAATGGCTTGCCAGACTCCGTCCCTTTAGCTCTGCACCGAGCACGATTCGCCACGAGTGTTCGCGCGCGCTGAGGAAGGAGCGCGGCTGTTTTTGCCAAGAAATGGAAATGAAAGACGGGAAAAGGTGGTCTCTCTCTGAGCGATAAAGACGTATTAGAACGATGAGTCACTTTTGAGATACACGAGAATATCGGGTCATTGCAGAGTAGTATGATGTAAAGCCCTGTATATAGTAACGTGATCTACACATGCACATACACCTAGAACATAATGAAAGTACTTAAATAGTGTTTTCCGAGAAATGCGCCCAATAACACTCATAATTAGTCCTTCCCGGAATATGCGCCAACAGAATTCCACAGAAAGTTCCGCAGATTTCCAGGGAATTCCAGCGCCCCTCATTTACCGTTCTACACACCTCCCACGCTTGCGTGCTGCTGTGATCAGTGTTTTGGTTTATTCGATGTACTTAACAAATTAAAATCATATCGACATAATTCCGCTGATTTTCACCCACAATCAACGCAGATAATGTGAGAAGGTGTAATCAATGCACAAAGACCGTGAAAGGAGGACTGAAATCAGTAGGTATATGCAGGACAATGAGTATATGCAGGCATGGCAAGCAGATATAACGCAATGCCTAAAGTTAAGCGTTTCCCTTAAAAATCATTATTAAGAAAACGCCTAACGTGGCTTAAAGTATTAAGATAAGTGATATCGGAAACCCAAATTCAGTATAGGCTACTTAGTTGACGATATATAGGTAGGCTACAGCATGCAGGCAAACAGATGAACCCAGAATATAAAGGCGCTTATGGTCCTTCAACGTTAAGCCTTTTCATTATAATGGTTTTGTTTTAATGTGGGAAACGGTTAACGTTATCTTTTTTGTTTTGCGTTCATATTCGGGGTTCACCTTCTTGCCTGTATATAGTGTGAATTATCAATCAAAAAAAGTTGTGTAGCCTACCGAATTTTGTCCTCCGATATCATTGTCTTATAGGCTACACTAGCCTAAATCACGTTGACGTTAAGCTTTTAGAATGTTTCGCGCAAAACCACGAAGATCAATAATTATATGAAGAAATTTACCGTATGTTTCCCACAAAGGATTTTACTATCGGATTGTTCAACCTTTGAAATGTAAAGATACTCAATAAGACGCATCTAGCCTATATCCTATAGAAACCCAACTAACAGGGAACGTTCTCAGAACGTTCCTCTCAAACGTCTGAATAAACGTTCTTTCAGTAACGTTAACAGAACGTTTATTCAAAGTTGTTCTTTAATAATGTTCTCAAAATGTTAGCA